TTCCCTATTACAAACTTCTGTATCATTTCAGTGCTTTATTCCTACATGGGCATGTCCTATGAAACTAACAGTGAAAGTTACTTAAAATTCTCCAAGCAGCCAAAAGAGGGAATGCCTGATCAATATTCTTGGCTAGCTACTGAAAACTGACACTCACATAGTTTGAAAAAGCTTCCATTTTGAGTATATCTTACTGGGGGAGAGACTAAAAAAACCCACAAAGATAACAAGAATTACTAACCCATTTTTAACCAGGATGTTTAATTATTATAGGCATAAGCATAACTTCATTCATAAGAGACAGAAGTTAAGTGTGTCTCAGTCATGAGATTTAAGCTTTAAGAACTTCATTCTTAAAGGAGCTACGTTCCAGCAGTGAAAGGGAGAGGAGGGAAGGGGAGAAAATGGACTTACTGGTAATTTAATTTTTTTTTTCTCTTTCATTTTAAGCATTCGAACTGTCCTAAAACTTTAGAGCCAAATGTGGACTTTCCAGTTGGCCAGCAACATGGTAACTGCCCTTTTATAATGGAATTTCTGATAGAGGGTAGAATCAAGCAAATGAAAACTCACGGGGACTAAGAAGAAGATGTATTCTAGGGTGAGCATTTTGAATGCTAAGTAACAAAAAATTGGTAACCACTGAATAGCATTATATAATTAGCACTGGTTGTGGAACTTCTGTTTCTGTACTTATTCTTCAAATTCAATAGTGCCTAACTCAATCTACTTAATAAAAGCTTATTTCTAAACACAGTGTTGGAATTATTGAGCATTAAGACTGTGACTGATTGCTGTGTCTGTTTTCCTCTAGTGATTTTAGTGTGTGTGTTACATGACAGAGGAAGAGCATCTTTCAGAGTCAATAGTAAACGATGTGGGATTCGTTACACTCAGCAGGTTGCTAAGCACAGCTGGGTTGAGAAGCAGCACTGACGTGCTGTAACTGCTGAGAGAGTGGCAGAACTCCAACAGCTGTCAAACTTCTGAGGCTATTGTAGGACTACAAAGGATGTACCATCCAGCTCTGCCTTGAAGCCAGCTGTAGAGCAGAGTGCGGTTGGATGTATGACCTCAGTGTCCAGGTGTACCCATGTTCACTTGGGAAGTCCATGTTCTGCCTTATTTCCTGTTTGGCTCTAATATTAGAGTAGCTGTAGGCAGGCCTGTTGTAAGGATGATAGCCTAGACTGCTCTAGTCGCTTGCCCTAGTGGTGTCCTCCCAAGACTTCAGTAGCACAGTTTTGCTGTTTCCTTAAACTTAGTGGCAATTGCAGCAGCCTTTGCAGCCAACACTGCTAAAACAGACAGTACGGGATTGTTACTTCTAACAAGTCAGAAACAGGATCATGCCATTGAAGCAGGGAATGTTACTATTAGAGCAGCAGTCTTCTCTTGAGGGATGCAGGGGATCAACAGTAAAGAGCATTGCGTGAGGAAGGCTTTGGAGTTTTGTGGAATTTTGTTTGTTTGTTGGGGGGTGGGGCTTAAGAAAAAACCCTACAACTCCAAAATTAAGACTTAAACTATACTTGAAGTGATCTGACGGAATAAAATTTCTTTGACTTGAAACCTGGAAGCAGTGCTGTCAGTCCAGAAAAACACAGAGAGCAGAAAAGAGACTGCAAAGCAGAGGCAGAAAGGCTACCCAGTTAAAGAAAAGTTATAAACATAAAGTCTGTGCTTTTCAGTGAACCAAGGAGACTGTTTAAGAGAGAAATTTCCTGTTTTAAGGGAGCCCGGTCAAACCAACTGCTACAGAGAACTCTGAATGCAGACATTCATCATATTAGGAGACATTCCCTCTCACCGCTAACAACAATCTTACCCAACGACACTGCTATACAACTGGGACAATTACATCTTTTCCATTTGTCACTGGCAAGATATCCCTAGAGCGTTCTGAAAATAGTTAAGGTAGCTGCATTTCTAACTTTGTTGTTTACTCTGTCTGAAACGAAGTTAACTCCTGTGAATGTCTTAAGAATTCAATTTTGAGCATCTGGAAGAAATAAAAAGTGAATTTGTACCAGGAAACTGAGCCCTCCAACACAACAGTGAAGTGATTCTCAGTACCTTGTAGCTCCAGAAACACTGGCTGAACATTATTCAGTAGAAAACTTGCTGTCAAGCTGTTCCAGCGAGAGTACTCTGTAACTACAAGATGGTATCAATAGAATATTACCTTAACATCTCAGCAAAGCTATCCCCAACTAGATCCAACAGATTTAAAATATTTATACTATAACAGTTGTTCCTCGAGGCTGCATAGACTAGATGAAGACCATACAATCATGTTGACTGCATTACGTTGACTTTAGAGAATCTACACCTTAGAGTGTCTGAAGAAAGCTAGTCTTCTAATAGTGTAAAAGTCAACAATGAAGACGTTTAGTGATACCAGAGCACTTGGGTCAAAGATAGCTTCTTCCTAGCTGGAGAACTGATGTCCTAGCCATAACATAGTTTTCAGACCACTTTTTGTCCAGCAAAGCAGTTGATTGAATGTAGTATGTTTGAAGTAGTCTCTCTGAAGTTGCTCAGTTAACAAAGAGTCTCTTAAGCACAAGAGCTTGTACCCCATTCTTAGTGATCAAGGTACTACATTGAACTGTACCATCCTGACAGCTGTAAGGACTTCAATGGACAAAAAGTTTCCACCAAATGACTGTACATGAAATGTGCACGTATGTGTGTATGAATGCTCTTCTCCCAAATGTGCTCTTGAGTGCACTTGAATCAACTACTTGCCTGCGTACAGTTGCAGTGAAGCGGTTGAAAATCTTCCAAACCATGGTGGCTGTATCTTGTGAAAGCATGATTATCACCAAATGGGTGGATATCTTCATCCTCTCAAGCAAAGCCACCAATTTAGAAACAAACCTCTCCTGTAGGAGGGCATTACTTTGCAGTTTTACGCTATGGAATTGAAAACTGCAATTAATCACTGAACACGTGGATAATCTTGTGTGCTTTTCTCATTGCGTCAAAGGTGATCTTTGTTGTCTTTTATCGGCATTAGTTGTTTCTAACCCCTGGGGCATCTTGTCATGCAGCTCACATGGTATCATTCTGCCTTCATGTTAACTGCTGTGCAGCAGTCACAAAATAACACTGAACTTTCAGCTTTGTCAGTGACAACCATTTCTACCAAAGAACTAAAAGGCCCAGACCATCTGTATGAAAATGGGGTTTCACTGAATGCTAAGGTTATGGTGACATCAGATGTTGGGTGCTTCTCATGTTGATTAGCTAAGTTCCTTTCCTTTTCCGAGAAGAGGATCAAACAGTAAATCTGATGGAAACAGGGCTGTGGTTGCCACCTCTGCACAGAGGATGCAGGACTGGATGCAGCTCTCAGTGTGCGCCACGGAACTTGCACTCTGAGCATCGGTTGTTTTCTAGCTTCAGGGGCAGAGGGGAAGGTGGAAGGGGGTACGTGGGGAGATTTGGGTAGCTGGCAAGCTTGCCAGTGATGAATTAAATAGGCGTGTGCCAGATATGTACAGCTGTAAGCATCTCATTAATTACTGCTGCATTTACAGAACATATGATGTGCTGGTTGATTGCTTTGGGGGAGGGGAAGCTTCTCCTTTGCATAGATATCACCCCAAACTTTCTACCGGTGAACCAAAGACACTCTGCTGGCTGTCATAGAAAAGATGCAGCTTGTCCCCTCTCCTCATGCTGTTACTTTTATTCAACATCAGCTATTAACTTCTTAAATATTCATGTCAGTTTGCAGAAATAGCATGAAGACCTTCCACAGTCTATGACAGTAAAGGGAAAATACTTTCAGAGATTATTTCAGAACAATTGCAGGAATGTGGTTTTGGCAAAAGTGTATATACCATTTCTAAAAATTTCACTAGAAAGCAGATTTAAGCTGTTGGGGTTTTTGTTTGGTTGTCTGGGTTTTTTTAAGTGGATACCAACTTCTGTAAGAATCAAAAATAGATCATTTCCCAAATACAGTCAGCACAAGTCTAATATGTCATGTTCAAGCAAAGTTACAGCTATATAGGTGAAAAAAAATAGCCTTTTGCAATATTTTCATTAAATAAGTTTTGTTTTCCAGGCTGATGTGCTATCTTATGGTGAAAGAACTAGTGTAGATGGTGATTTGTCCTGGTTTGAGCTAAAACAGAACTAACTCTGTTCAGTATTCAGTGATTTTACTTTTTTGTTAAGTCTCTTCTAAGTAACTGCACTTTCTGAAATCAACAGCCTGTTTTTCCAGACAGTGACTGTTTCCAGTAGTGGTAACACCTGATGTCTATAGTTAATGCCAAGGAATGGTGTGCAGAAAGGCCCTTGCTTGTACTTGCTTCTAGCAAGCTTCTTTCACTGCTAAATCTTGTACTCTGTGTTGTGGTCCCAGAAGTGAAAAGGGGCACAAGCACATAAAAAGGTCGCACCTGCAGGGAGGAGTGAACTGGACAGGTGACCCAATCCTGACCAACAGAGTATTCCATCCCATATACGTCATATTCTCTCTCTCTTCTTTGCTGACTGACATCTGAGGAGGACTCTGTTCTTCTGTCATCGATCCCAATCCGTGCATCCCTGAATCCAGTGCCTGAGTCCAGCTCCTGCATCCCATCCCTGCCTGCTGCTGTGTCCAGCCTGGGACTGCCCCAGTGCCAGCCCTGCAGTGTTAGTGGTGGCTGTTGTCATCAGGGGGTTGGGTTCAGTATCAGGTTTGTATATATTTCATTATTTTCTTATTTCTATTATTACCTTTTCTTTTATTGTTATTGTTTCATAAAGCTGTGTTAGTTTTCTTTCCCAATCCGTAAGTCTCTCTCTCCCTTCCCCTTCTGAGAGGTGAGAGGAGTTAATAGAGCGCATCTGTCATTCGTTAATGGTTAACCCAGCTTCAACCCTTGACATGAGTACGCTTCCACTTGTTTAAAAATACTGTAGTAGTATGAACTCTACAGTACATATAACAACAAGTTTTCATGCTGTGATTTCAATTTATAAGCAGAAATGCACAGCATCATAGATTACCTCTATTAAAAATATGCAGTGTTAAATGTGGTCTATTGGCGCAATGACAAAGAGGTATTCAAGTGGCACGTGTGCAGCTTTAAGAGTGATTCTTAACTGGTTGCATGCATCTACCAGTAGGGCTTGCGCTAGTGCAAGCAAACCTGGATATAATTGAGAATGCTATGGCTGGTTTTGGAACACCAAATCAAAAAGTTATTTCTGTTAAAAGCA